ACAAACACACACACACACACACACACACACACACACACACACACACACACACACACACACACACACAAACAAACAAACACACACAAAGAAAAAGAAGAGAGGCGATATGAAAGAGAGGAGCCCATGGCCGACAACAAGCGGGGGAAAAAAGACAAAAAACACACAATGCCGCCCAAAATGGGGGAAGAAAGACGGGGTGTATGGATGGATAGACTTACCAGTTATCCCAAAAAAGAAACAAAAAAAGAAACAAAAAAAAAAAAGACTCACCAGTCACGAATCAACCGATAGAGATGTTGACTGTTAACGAGAGCGACAGCGGAGCATGACACGTGGCAGCGTCAAACTGGCGGATCTCTATAACAGGGCGGAGCATGACACTTGGCAGCACCAGATTGGCGGATTTCAAAAATCAGAAAGATGAACATGCCACGTGGCAGCCTCAGAGTGGCCGATCTCGACAACAGAGCTAGGGCGCGGTGGCTTATTATTTTTGATTTTTTGGCTTTAAAAGAAAAGGTCATTTTGGCATGACACTTGGGAGTCCAACCCGCCGTCGAGCTTGGCCCAGTCGAGCTACTTGGAGCCAAGCTCGGATGTGCAACCACGCCTGCCAACCGCTGCGTAGCGCGCCATCCGCCTTTATACTACTCGGGCCTCTGGACCTCTAAAATTCAAGTCCGCTGGGACCTCTGGGACGAGAGACATATGTTTCGTCCCTGGGACCACTGGAATCCATAAGGGGTGGAACCACTGGGACCTGGCATATCTACGCAGCCACTGGTATCGCAGGGACCTCTTGGACCTGGGATACATACACAGTCACTGGGACCACTGGAACCTGGGACCACTGCAATCCAAATGGGGTGGAACCACTGGGACCAAAATTACCGACCGGACCACTATGATTCCTTGAGCCTCTTGGAACTGGGAAAAATATACGGCCAGTGGGATGACTGGGACCGTTGGGAGCGGGACCACTGAAATGCTGGTGGGGTGCGAGTGGTGCACCACTAGGACATGGGCAAGTGGGACAATTGAAATCCAAGTGGGACCACTGGGACATGGACCCTCCCTTGGATCAGCAGGCCTGGAACATGGGCCTCAGCGCGCTACTGAGAGAACAAAAAGAATGGTCAAAGCATCTTCACATAGATAGTGGCAAGTTACATCCTCTACTATGAATAGTAGAACATGTATCTTCCCCTGTGTGTGTGAAGTGCATCTGTACCCCATACCCAGTCCCGGCGTCCGAACTGCATCTATACCCCGGAAATGGCCTGTGTAAATTATTTGCCTGCCGGGGAACAATGGGCCAAGGTTGGTACTGCCAAATTGCAGTTATACCCACCGACCAGCGGGCTTAAATTATGCACATACCAAGGCGAACTATGTGAATACCCAATTTGGCTGCCCAGTTTCTGGGCATGAGCATAATTTTGCGCCCTCCAACCAAGGGCCTGTGGGACCTGGATACCCCTATATATATGGGTGCACCGGAAAAGTAGGGCACATCCAGGCAAAACGCGAATGACCCGTTTTGCCTCGATAGGTTTTGCGAACAGGCAGACCGGTACATCCTGCCGGACATGGCGCGCACGCAGTTGTGTTGAAGAAAAACGGTTGGGAAACAGGGCTTGGGTATACATTCAAGTTGGGCATTGGGACTGGGTGCAGCATTCAACCTTTGTATAGAGGTACCCAATCTACAGATGCAATTTTGCCTTCGTTTCGTAGAGGACCATGACCCTGAAGTGGTATCATCAAACTGACTGGTGCCAGGTAATGGATCTCTTCAACCGCGAGTACTTGGCCCATACATTGGGCACGGGCCTGAAATTGCCCTGCGTGCCACGGGAATTTACTTCCACGCAGATGTACCTGCCCACCGCCGCCAGTTATTTCTCGGTCGGCCTGTACTTTCGTGTTAACCACCGCGCTCTTTTCCCAAGTGGGCAAAGGTACTGGTGTTTTGAGCTCCCATCCGCTTTATAAACAGTTCCACCAGTCCATCGCTCGCCATTTTGGTGGCAGGTTCACCTTCCTTCCTTTTGTTTGAAGATACACCCTCATTTTTCCCCCGGATGGTAAGTGATCTGGTACACAGGAATTCAACCTTCTTTCTGGTTGACGGAAAGCGAGATCTGCCATCCCAGCAGATCCGCTACGGCTAGGTAGTTCAACTAGGGCACTCGGTTGCCGTTATCCGCGGTAGGAGGCAAGAGGGATGGTTTCAGATGGAGAGTGCCAATGTGGGTTGTCAATGCCTAGAAGGATCCACTTTGTCATTTAAACGGAGGCTAGTACATGGATTTTGTTTTATTTATTTATTTATTTTTTAAGTAAACGATTTTTTTCTCTCAATTTCACCTCACACTACCTACCTACCACTACTCCTAACTATAGTGATACAGGGAACCCAGTAGCAGCCAGCACCGTGTTCCCCAGAGAACATGCAGGGGTTGCTCCCGACCTGTAGGTGGGCATGGTCCCTAATGCTACCGATTGTCCCATGGCCGATATCGCTCATCTAAAGATTCTTCTCTTTGTTTTTAGGATTGTTAGTTAGACAAAGAAAAAATTTTCCTTATAACTGTGGGCAAGAGGATTGGAAAAAGGCAAAACCAAAAAATTAGGGTAGTGTGGGGGTTCTTTTTTAATTTTAATATTTTTTAAGTTTTGTTTTAGACAGGTTAGATGCTGGGTTGGTTTGGCCTTCGCGCTGTTTTTTTAAATAACTTTGCCAAGTATCGTTTTGTTAAAAATCTACTAACGAAACTGAGTAGTGGTCACCGAAAGTGCTAAATTATTTTTTTTAAGGAATTTTCGATCTCATTATTAGTCATGATAATGTATTCCTTGTTTTTTCCAAGATGAAAAATAAAGAAACGAAAAGAAAGGATCATTACAAAACACACCATATCGTAGTTGGCCGTTAACGTAACACTACAAGTTGTCCTAAAGGCAAGACATGTCGACGATCTAGGAGGTGAGACAGAGAAGGTGGAAGGGCTATTGGTGGTCTGCTGAGAGTCAGACAATACCTCGATAGAAGATGTGGAAGGAATGGTCGTGTATAGGGTTGCTTGAGAAGATTCCTATGTAGCAACACGAGGCTTAAACTTTGACTTATGATCGGGAAACAAACTACTGATAAAACCCCGGAGGTACATTACACCATAGCTACATGACGTCGTCAAATTAAGTTGAGCAGGTGCCCATGGGGCATTATGAACGATGCTGATGAAATAAGTCATCCCAGTACCCGTCTAGGCCAGCATGGTAACGACACTTGGATGAGGTGTTAGCATCCTGACGAGACTGCCGGCAGCCACGGTGGGCGATAATCTCATGGCACTCCATTAGGGAAACATGTCCACAAGGAAGAATAAAGCTCATGAGAGTCGTAGTTGTTGAATGAAGTGGTACACGTCGGGGTGTTATTTTTGACGATTTTTTTACAGAAGCTATCATATTGGCTGAATTTTTCATTTTTTGGGGGCGGGGAGGGCGGACATATCTGTACTTTAAGGTATGTCGTGTATTCAATTTTTACATTTGGACAGACATAAAAAAAAAAAAAAACAGCTTATATTTTGTTAATACCGTTTAATGTTTATTTTAAGTCGGAAAGTGTTTTTAATTTTTCATGATAATCTTTTTTGTATTGTTCCAACAACAGATATCGCGAAGGACCATAAAATAATTTTGTGTTAAGGTTCTATAATTTTTTATTTTATTTTTTTCGCTCTTTTTCTTTTTGCCTTGTAATACTGTAGGCTCATATCCTTTGCTGTGTAGCACACTGAACATGCTCGGAGCTTTTCCGAACGTCCGAACATGTTCAGGTGTTCGGCCGAACGCCACCCGAACGTGTTCGGCCGAACATATTAAAATAAAAAATAACAAAATAAAAAATATTATTTTTGGTTTTGTATTTTTAACTCGAGTTTGGTTACGAATTTGACCATACCTCCTGAGCAAAAATTGTTTGTATTATTATTTTACATAATATATAATTTTTTAATATTTTTTTATAGTTTTTTTTCTTTATAATGTTTGCGTTCGGAGAGTTTCGACGCTCGTTCGTGTTCGGTGCCGAACGTTCAGGTTCGGCCACCGAACCCAAACACGATGCCACACAGATCCTTTGTTTCTAGAGTTTCCCACTATGTTACTAGAGGTACTGTGCTAAAGACAAAAACAAATTCAATTTTAATAAACCATCTATCATGGTTGAGGGGGAAGCAAAATATTTAGGTTTTCTCGGTGACAGTCTATTACCTTTCTGCGTGAGAACCTATTGCCTCCCAGTGTGATACCCTATTGTCTTTCCAATCGAGGGGGAAGTGGACCATATAGGCAATAACTTATTTATTTATGGCAAAGTCATCAAATTTTTTGCGTGATAGCCTATTGTCTTTCCGGTCACCATAAATAGCTTGAATGAAAAACGTACGATAAAAATAACGTCGTTGTTTGGGATTGTGAATTTTTTTTGTACCGAAACGAACCCAGGGTCAATGTTGATTTCTGAACTTTGATTAGGCTCGAAGAGTTATTGACTATTTTATTATTGAAGATTGATTATTTTATGTTTATTCATTTATCATTTATTGAGGATAACAGTTACTAATGGTGGTCAATGCTCTTGCATGTACGGTACTACCTTGGATTGGATTGAAGACAAAGATTAATACGAATTGACTGAAAATTTCAGGCTCAACAAGGTATACTCCTTGAGGCCTAATATCTCTTAGAATTAAAAAATAGTTTACTCAATGACAAAAACAACTTCGACTCACAATGTTGATGAAAGAACAAACATTAATTGAACTTTTAAGGTTCGCTGCTAAGACTATGTTTTCTCATCGATATAAGGGTTGCTAGACTTTCCGTTAAGAAGAATACGATGATCATTGTTGTGGTGGTTCATTACTTGGAAGGAGATATCTACGTATTTATCCTTATGTTAGGAGAAGGAAGACATGTGATAGTGAAACTTTCTATTGGATTTGAGATGTTGATATTCAGTCAATCCATTATGAGAAAGAAAAACTCATTCGGATCATAAACAAATTTGAATGGGGAGTAATGTCAATAACTTATGAGACAATGTTCATTTCTCATATCCATGATAGTTATTGTGATGAAAGCGATTGACTCTCGATTATCAATATGATATTGAAGTGGAAGAAATAAATTAACTATCATTAGATAAAGAAACATTTTAGTAGAAGAAATCGGGCAATGGAGGTTAAAATTTTAGAAAAGGTTAAAGTCTAAGTAAAAAAAATGTTAAATGCCTTTTAAGCCACTTGTACCTTTCCCG